GTAGAAGTGTCCTGGTGGTGGGGCACTCTAACAAAGCCATAGGGATGGCGTCTTCAAGACAGTGAAGGAAGATGGGAGAGTGAGAGGATGGGAGATGGGAGAGCCCAATCAGGGAAGGGCATGGTGGATGCACTGGCCAAAGCTGAGGATGTTGAGAGGACAGCATAGAGGACGAAAATCTCATCATTATTCACGCTGGGCTCAATGATCTGTTGAAAAGCAAGGATCAGAACCTTCAAAGAGTTAAAGGATGGGATGTGTAAGCTCCGAGAAGCCTCTCGGAGTGTGCATGTGACCATATGCACAGTCCCAAAGGTCTGGGGGCACTCTCGTGAAACTGAAAGGAGGGTAGTGGAGGCCAACGGTGTGATCAAAAGTATGAGCCGGCAACTCGGATACAGCGTAATGGGGGTGAACCAAGACGTGTACGAAACCGGCACTCGCCCCTTTGCACAGGATGGCATTCACTACACTGGTGCGATGAGCAGGAGGGTTGGTAACAGGACGGGTGGTCAAGCCACAGCCTTTTTAGGGGGGCCCAGAGCTCTGAGGCCAACAGTGTAGCCGAAGACGATTCTAAAGGGGCCCAAATATTCGAGCCACACGGAGTCCGTGGGAGAAGAAATCGACATAAGCACAAGGGCCGAGCTAAGTCAGAGGTAGGCTATATTAACATGCAGGGTGGCAGGAATAGGTTAAAGTGGGAAGAGCAGTTGAGGCAGGAGGAACTGATGGTATATGGGGTTGTGGAGACACATCTTCGGGACATGGAACAACCACCTAGTAATCCGGACTACGTATGGGAATATTATAGAGAACAGAAGGCAGCAGAAAGAGGTGTGGTATTGGGGCATTCATTCATAAAAGTAGAGACTGGCATAGGGTCAAGAAGGAGTGCAAGGAACATTTATGGCTAAAAGGGAAAGTGGCAGGGCAAATGACACTCCTTGGTTTCGTGTACATGTGGACGAAAGCAAAGGCCAGAGAAGAAAACCAGGCAATGGTCGAGTGTATATCAAAGGGCATTGAGGAATTAGGAGGAGAGTGCGAGATAATTATACTAGGAGATATGAATGCGCACATAGATGGATATACTGACTCAATGGCAAAATGATCATAAATATGTGTGAAAGGCAAGATTTCATCATTTGCAAAAGTACTGAGAAGTGTGAAGGGCAAATAACATGGGAGGTAAGAAAGCTACAGTCGACGATAGATTACGCACTGATGTCACATAGGATGTATGATAAGCTCAGGGGAACGCACATAGATGAAGGTGGCTCCAGAAGTCTGGGTAGTGATCACAAACGTATCAAGCTAAGTTTTGGAAGAGCAGTGAAAGTGGGAAGGAGACAAGATGAGCAACTACAGAAAAATTTTCATCCAGAAAGGCAAATAGCAATTGCTACTAAACAAATTGAGAAAGCAATCACGCAGGATAATAAAACAGTGCAGACATACACAAATATAATTAGACTGAGCTAGAGCTTGCTAATGCACGTGACAAGTCACCCCGGAAAAGAAGACACAAGCCCAAGAGTTAGTGGGATGGGGATGTTAAGAGAGCCATAGAAAAACATCAGGAAGCCTCTAGGGAACACAGACATGCTAAGAAGCGGGGTGAACCGACAGATGATGTTGAAAGAAAATGGGACATCTTTCTAAGCTGTAGAAAGGAAGCATCCCTTCTGATCAATGAAAAGATTAGAAGAAAGGGTACTCAGTGGCTGGCAGAAGTACATAAAAAGGACAGAAAGGCAGCTGCGAAATTTTGGAACCATCTAAACTCCCTTATAAATAAAACAAGCCTAGAGCAGAATTTTATAACTACAGCTCAAGGTGCAAGGCTAGAAGGGGACGAAGCTATTGAATATATAAGAACAAGGATGACAGAAAAATTGCAACAAAGGAGTGCCTCATGCACCACAATAGACAAGGATGGATCAAGTGGCTCCATTGTCACAATGTCCATGGATCAATGGCTCCATTGTCACAACGAGAGTGGGAAAGGGCAGAGAAGAGAGTTCCAAGTAGTACATCAACAGGCCCAGATGGCATTTCAATTATGCTGATAAAGACATTGGGTCCGAATTCTAAACAGACTTTGAGAGAGGCAGTGAGCAGAATAATAATCGATGGTGAAGTCCCCAATGGTTGGAAACTTAGCAGGAAGAGCATGATCTATAAAGAAAAGGGAGACAAAGCTGACATAAAAAAGAACCGTCCTATAACAATGACATCAGTGGTCTACAGGCTGGCGATGCAGATTATAAAGGAAAAACTGCAGGCATGAATAGAGGATGAGGAGGTGCTGGGGGAACTGATGAATGGGTTTCGGAAACACAGGAGGTTGGAAGACAATCTGTTCTCACAGACACAGTGCATCGAAATAGCAGAAAAGGAACTCGGGCCCCTGTGGCTAGCATTTTTGGATATCAAGGGAGCGTACGATAGTGTACTTCAAGAGGAATTGTGAGGAATACTGGACACACTAGGTGTTGAAGATGGAGTTACTAATCTTTGAAAGGAAATCTATAAAATTAACAAGGCAGTTATAAAGTGGGAAAAACAGGTATCCAGGCCCACAGAGGTGAAACGGGGGCTTAGGCAGGGGTGTCCTCTGTCACCCTTGTTATTGATGATGTACCTACAAGGATTAGAGGCCAAATTAGACGGAATTGGACTTGGCTTCAACCTCTCTTTTGTCAAACAAGGAAAACTCATTGATCAGGCACTACCAGCATTAATGTACGCAGATGAAATAGGGCTAATGGCCGACAGCAAAGAAGATTTGTAGTGATTGATGGACATCTGCAGTAATGAGGGAGATAGATTAGATTTCAGATTCAGTAAGAAAAAATCAGCAGTCATGATATTCAATCATAATGAAGGTAGTGAGCTTAGAATACGGGAGGTCACGCTAGAGATAACAAATAAATACAAATATCTGGGCGTATGGATAAGCAATGGGAGCGAGTACTTAAGGAAACACGAAATATACGTGACGACTAAAGGTAACAGGAATGCAGCAGTCGTGAAAAATAGGGCACTGTGGAATTACAATAGGTATGATATTGTGAGAGAAATTTGGAAAGGGGTCATGGTTCCTGGGCTGACGTTCGGCAATGCGGTCTTGTGCATGAGATCAGAAGTTCAAGCAAGATTAGAAATTAAGCAACGTGGAATAGATAGGCTTGCTATAGGAGCTCGTGGGAATACACCAAATCAAGGAGTACTAGGTGATATGGGATGGACATTGTTTGAGGGCAGGGAAGCTAGCAGCAAGATAAAATTTGAGAAGCGATCGAGAGAAATGAGGGAGGAGCGTTCGGCTAAGAAGGTTTTCAGCTACTTGTACATGAAGAATGTCGATACAAAATAGTAGAAGCGAACCAGGAAATTGACTGGTAAATACTTAGAAAACGGCAGGTGGCCAAACCAAAAAGAACTATCGGTTAAGAAAAAGTGAAGGAAACAGAGACTGATATGTGGAGAATTGGCATGATTAACAAGTCCGCACTAGAGATCCATCAAACCTTTAAGCAAGAAATTGCCAAGGAAAGGATCTATGGTAATACCCGAGGTAGTTCTCTACCGTTTAAGGCCACAACAAGAGTAGTGCGAACGAAGACATATTGGGCCAAATACGAAGAGGTAGACACGGTATGCAGCCCCGCCGCGGTGGTCTAGTGGCTAAGGTACTCGGCTGCTGACCCGCAGGTCGCGGGTTCGAATCCCGGCTGCGGCGGCTGCATTTCCGATGGAGGCGGAAATGTTGTAGGCCCGTGTGCTCAGATTCGGGTGCACGTTAAAGAACCCCAGATGGTCGAAATTTCCGGAGCCCTCCACTACGGCATCTCTCATAATCATATGGTGGTTTTGGGACGTTAAACCCCACATATCGATCAATAGACACGGTATGCAGTGCATGTGGAGAGGAGCAGGAAACTGCCGAACACATGATAATGTTCTGTAGAGGGCTCCACCCTATAGTTCAGTATGATGGCGCAGAGTTTTTCAAAGCACTGGGGTTTAGGGACAGGGAGGGCAAAATAGGCTTTAAGCGGGTAGAATTAACTAGAAGGAGATTGTCTGATTGGTGGCTAAAGTCAAGGCACGAGTGAAAATTAAACCCTTCACTGCAATGTAGCCGTCCTCAACTTTACTATTTGAAGGGGAAAAAAAAGATAATTCTAGTGATTAGTTCACTAAATATTATGGCTTAGCCGCCGCCCGATCTAAAGGTTAGAGCCACATCCATCCATCCATCCATCTATCCGAAAGGGTAGAGCCATATCAATCAATCCATCCATCCATGGGCGAATACGGGCACGCGAAAGGCGGATTGCCTGATGAGCGATGCTGCTTTCACGTACAGCATCAGCGCTATTGTTCTCTGGTTATCAATAGCCCAATATCTTGTTTTTTATTAAGATGCGTCCGGCAACCTTTATGTGTGTGTTGCAGGATCTGTGAGCATGCATTTTTACGATAACACGAAAGCTTTTCTTTTGGTCCGGTTGTTTTTATAGCGAGGTGCTTGCTGCACACGCGGAAGCAGTTCGGAGGGGATTAGTCACGCGCTTTTTAGGCTTTTGTGGGCACCAGTTTTCGCCAACCTAGCTCGCCGTGTTAAGAAACTTTGTTTTCAGAGATGGTTTGACAGCACTCTGAAATTATGACGCAGGCAGCAGCATTTCGGGAAGCACTCGGGCCTCGTTGGATCAGAACAAGCGAGTAGAGGACAACACAGCGTACACCACACGATGGCGTCTCAACACTGCACAACGAAACACACCGACGGGTCCTGACAGTTGCATTTTGGCATGCATAGCGCGTTTCATACTGCATAGGAGCTTAAGTAGTGCTTCGTCTGCTGCCCCGAGTGAAATACGCTCGCCATGCACGTGCGATGCTTTCACCATTGTTTCCCCCAGACAGTCTGTATGATGCCCCTCTTGGCTTCGACAGTGAGAGCACGAAACTTTTTAGATACGTACCTCAGCGCCAACGTCCGAACCACGTCCTTAAACGGCGGTCGGCCGAACAGCAACGATGAACACTTGCCTACAAGCCAATGTATTATGTCGCACTACTGCTGCACCCATGACTACCACACTCGGCCACAACTGCAGTACGTAGAAGGCTGCAGAATTGCTGTTGAACGCTTGCACATCGCAACGCAACTAGAGGTGTGCGCCGAGGCGGTTTCGACCTGGGGCGGCGTGGGGGTCGTTCTGGTATGGTCACAGAACACTACGTATGGTGGGCTACACGGAGTGTGTGGCTAGAAGCATAGAGTTTCTCAAAATTAACTAGAGGGCACTATGGCGCTGCGATCGTTCAGCGGCTATGGGAATGATGGGTAGTACCAACACCACCTCTAAACTAGAAATGTGCGCCGACTGGTCGGCGCGCCGCCGCCAAGAGTTTTCGCCACGTCGCCGCCGTCGACGCGAACTGATCGGCGCGCCGCCGCCGCCGCCGACGTTTTTCATCGGCGCAATCGGCGCGCCATTTATGCACCAGTACCGAATTTTCACAGATTTGTCTTTTTCTTTTTGATCTTGATTTATAGCTTCGTTTACCATTTATGTAGCCAGTAAAAAACAGGCTTCTTAGTTATCTTCATCCAGCTTCACAGACCGAGAGTACCGCTATGAACAGCGGCACAAGTTCGGCGGCCGCTGCATGAAATGACATAGTGGACAAATTTTGACAAAAAATAAATGTAACAGTTACAGTAATGCATACACGCTGCCTTATTAGGCTTAAAATAAATTTTTGCTGGTTCTCTATGTCGTAATTAGCAATGATTTTGGTCATACAACGTTGAATGTACTGGCCCAGCGTGTTGATGAATGCTAGTTCACCGTAGCATTATTCGAATATTCATATGGATGCAAAACGGCATCATAATCAGTCCAAGATGGCAGCCTATGATCGTGCCCGAAACAGGGCGTATACACAGAAGAAATGAAATGGTAGCAGTGCAGCACGAATGCAGCGCGTTAGGTGAAGAACTACACAAAGCCCCGAAGGATGAAATCGAAAGGGAGAAGTTTAGTGGAGATTAGAAGCGTCGAGGCATAATACATGCTCGAGCCTACTCAGGGTATATCATCACCTGTCCGTGGTGTTAAAGTTTATAATTTTTGAGGATGACCACTTATATGCAGCGTCTGAACATGCTGCAGAAAATATTTGATGCCTTTTAATTCGGGCATCAGATATCCGGGATGAAGATGCCAAGGCAGTAAGATGGCAAGAGAGAGAAAGGAAGGCTGGGAGATTAACCAGATCTTTCCATCCGGTTTGCTGCCCAGCACTGAGCGTGGAGAAATAGGGGCAAGAAAGGGGGTGTAGAGAGACAGAAAAGAAAACGCATGTGCACTCAGGAGTAGGGTGGCAAACTTAACAGAGGATTTATTACATTCTGTACAGACAGGGCGAGAGATCTTTTGCGAATGAGCTGGTTGGCTCATTATAAAGTGTGCGTTTTGGCTGAATCAGGGAATGGGTCCAGAATGCGCTGTTGAATAACGGGGGACACACACCCTTTCTGACGGTGCCGCTCACACTCGCTCACGTCAACGTCTTTGATTGGGGCGTGGCCACCACACTGCACCTGTGACACCAAGAAACCACTGTGGTCGTCACGTCGAACGTCTTATGGTGTCGGAATGCCACCTCACTTCCCGGCTAAGATGGACAAAATACGGCTGGCAGCCCTTCGGTGACTTGTTTGACGAACAAAGAACGCCACTCTCCCCCGTCGGCCCAGGCGCCGCGTGTAACAACGCTATATAAGTGGTGAGCAGAGGCGTAATAAGCTTGTCTGAGGCCACCAGTTTTAAAAAGAACAAAACAAAACTAAAAAAAACTTGCCAGCAAAAACTCTACAAAAGACAGCTGGATTCGTCAATAATGCGGAGACAGACACTTGAGCGACATGTCATATATGACGTACTCTAGCAAACATGTTTTCATCACGTACCTTGAACGGACCTACTGGCACAGTGAAAGATGAATAATAATTGTTGCGGACAGTGGTGATGTAGTTCTGTTGCGAAGGTAATGCTCAGAATTAACCAAATAAATCTTAACTTTATATTCAGGTCTTGCTATAAAAGTTAGTCAAGTTAGGAAGCTCCTCAAGTTGCTAAGTAATAAATTACTTCACCATAGTTTATGGTGAAGTAATTTGAAAATATATAATGCAACCTCGGTTTAATTGATATTCAATGACGTGACTGCAATCAACGGTGTGTCGTCGCTATTAAACTGGAACGTTATCTGCGGACACGAGCGGGCGAATGCAGCGGAGAACGAATATGTCACGTAATAAAAGCGATGTGATGTCGCACATATTCGCCTGTACAACTCCGCGCCCTTTTGCTTGCTCGTGATGTATTCGAAGGAGCTAGCCATGTCTCAAGTAGAAGTCGAGCAGAGTAGCCGGGGCTGATAAGAGGAACGTTTATATACACTATTTACACACTAAAGGGAGCTATATGTTGATGGTAGCATCATGGAAGCGTGATGGGAGCTTCTCAGGGATGGTTCAGAGCGTCTTGGTGCTCCCGCTTTACGCCTTGGTCTTCCTAAAATAATCTGCAGGAGAAAACAGTGGACAGTTTGCAATAATCTGCTAGGCAGCTTTTCTGTAAGGTTAGTTTTTCAACCAAGAACTCACGTTCACAGGCTGCTTTTCTCGATCATTTCGTTTTTGCCATTCCTTTTTTTTTTTGAGATCTTGTTGTGCTCGCGTGCCTTCGCTGGAATTTGGAGAGGTGACATTTTGTTGTACTCGCGTGCTGAAAATGATAAATAAAAGCAGTCTGTGAACGAGAGTGTTTGATTGAAAAACAGACCTTACAGGAAAGCCGCCTTGCAGATCACTGTAAACTGACAGACTGCATGTCAATTCAGTTCAGGGCAGTCCGAACAACTTGTCGTCTTCATCTCCATCCGCCAAATGGGGGGGGGGGGGGTAGTGAATATAAGAAGGTGCCTGATTTCTGCAGCCCAGCAGGGAGCAGCGAATAAGGATTAAAAAAACGAGAGAGGGAGAAAGAGAGAGAAAGTCAAACACTGCAGCCTTCTTTTCAACCCAGGGAAGAGAGAAGGTGCACGTTCAGTTTGTCACACGGCGAGAGAGAAACATAACGTAGGTCACAGTGCAATAATACGCACAATGCATCATAGTGCAATAACATTGCATCGCATGTGCAGAATAGGGTCTGCAGCGCTAGGCAAGCTAGGGCTTGTGAGAATGGAAGACTTGCAAGCACCACAGAGTGTGGGAAACGTACCTGACGAGGAATCCCAAGCTCTTGGCTAATTGTTCAGCGCGTCTCTTGGCACGTCGAACAAATCAAGCAGCTTCGATTTCAAACAGCTCTTCCTAGGCCGTCAGTCAGTCAGGCGTGTCCAAAGAGTTTTTGACGAGGGGAGCCAACAGCCCTAAAGAATTCGAAATATGACTTTCGTGTTTTCGCCGCTTTTGGCGCGCACCTCGAGAGCGTTGATCCGGAACAAATCAGGGTAGGCTTAGCTGCAATCGTCCCCCACGTCCAAGCTTATGCTGATGCTGATGACCTCGGATGGATGGCGCTTACCCACAAAGGGGGATGGGCCAAGAACCGGGCGGCAGGATACTTAAGTGAAACTAAACTGAAAATGAAGCCATCTGAAAAAGTAGCTTAAAATAATACTACCAAAAAACAAAAATGTGTGCTGAGCAAGCGGTCAAACCATCTTTTGTTTTTGAAAGACATAACTACGAATTATAAACTAAAGATCTGAAAAGGTAGTGGTTCACTATATAGCATGGTAATCTTTTAGTTGCGTTGATGTAATCAAACACAGCGGAGCATACATCCCTGTGGCAGTAACCAAATGAAGTTCCGCCAAGTGATAAAATTACTGGTAAATTTACTTGTATTCCTAGCTTTTGTAATGGGGCTACTAAAAATCTTTTTCTCTGATAAGATTAACGATGACAGAATAAAAAGAAATGTTCAATTGTTTCAATTTCGTTGCACCAAATGCATAGCGGTGACGCCTTGAGCTGAGCTTTATTAAGGTAATAATTTAGTTGTGGAACTGCACAGCGCAATCTGGTATAAGTGACCACTAACTGGCGAGATACACACCACTGTTTATTCCAGCAATAGCTCAAATGCTCGAAATCTTTGAATTTATCCAAATTACCTTTTCCCCATTGCAGGCAAGCATTTCGGAACCTTAGCGCGGTTACGTAAGCCGTATCTGGCAAAACTGGGATGGTGGGCCCACCCAGGGATACTGCTGCTAAAGAGTCCGCCATTTCGTTCAAATATAATCCGCGGTGGCCTGGTACCCATAGCAAATGCAGTTTTTTTACGTTTTTCGGTACTAAATGCCGAAACGTATTCATCAGCTCTGAATTTACTGCCGCAGAAAGTGCATTACAAACTGATAATGAATCTGTAATGATAACTGCTAATGATTCGCTTGAGGGTAATTTGCATAGGGCAAGAACAATGGCCAATAATTCTGCCATGAATGCCGGGGTATAATCTGGGAGTCGAATCGAAAAGGACCAGTCCAAAGAAGGAGAGAAGATGCCAACCCCAGCCTTTTCTTTTGACACAGATGCATCAGTCGCTATGATATTGCTTATCCCTAGGTGGGCTATATAATCTGCTAACTGGTCATTTAAATACCTATATGCCAATTGTTTCGCGTTATGAGGAAATATATCATCGAATTGTATGCTAAACATTGACTTTAGGTTGTGTATTGGATCAATATGTCTAATTTTTACATTCAGTTGCTTTAGTAGCGCTTGTGCAAATACTATTTGCGGGGTGTGTAGTCGCGACCAATGGGTTTCGAAAAATAAAGTCGGTTCTTGAATGAAAGCGTAAAATGAGAGTCTTTAGTGTGAACTGTATATCTTTAACAATGCTTGCACAATAAGAATTTTAAACCTATTTAGCAGAGAAGGTAGGCGAGCTTCCATATACAGCACGTTATTTGCAACAAACTTTGGTAGACCCAGACACAAACGCAACGCTTCTCTTTCCAGCAGTATTAGGGGTCTCATTTTATAGGCTTCGCTGCCAGAAAATAATACACATCCGAATTCCATGATGGGCCGCACATAAAGTTTATATATCATTATTAGCACATCTCTTCTTAAACCCGCTTTACGGTTTGCAAGCTTCCGTAGCCACCCCATGGCCCGTGTTGCCTTGGAGTACACATCATCAATGTGACTTCTCCAATTTAAT